CTCCTCTCTCTCTCTCTCTCTGACGCTATCCCTCTCTCTCTCTCTGACACTATCCCTCTCTCTCTCTGACACTATCCCTCTCTTCCTCTGGCGCTGACCCTCTCTCTCTCTCTCTCTCTTTAACGCTATCCCTCTCTCTCTCTCTCGCTCTGACGCTATCCCTCTCTCTCTCTGTCTCTGTGAAGTTATCTCTCTCTCTGACGCTATCCCACTCCCTCTTTCTGACACTATCCCTCTCTCTCTCTCTCTGACGCTATCCCTCTCTCTCTCTCTCTCTCTGATGCTATTCCTCTCTCTCTTTCTGACACTATCCCTCTCTCTCTCTGACGCTATCCCTCTCTCTCTCTCTCTGACACTATCCCTCTCTCTCTGTCTCTGTGAAGTTATCTCTCTCTCTGACGCTATCCCTCTCTCTCTCTGACGCTATCCCTCTCTCCCTCTCTCTCTCTGTGACGCTATCCCCCTCTCTCTCTCTGACGCTATCCCTCTCTCCCTCTCTCTCTGTGTGACGCTATCCCTTTCTCTCTCTCTCTGACTCTATTCTTCTCTCTCTCTGTGACGCTGTCCCTCTCTCTCTCTCTGATGCTATTCCTCTCTCTCGCTCTGTGACACTATCCCTCTCTCTCTGATGCTATCCCCCTCTCTCTCTCTGACGCTATCCCTCTCTCTCTCTCTCTCTCTGACGCTATCCCTCTCTCTCTGACACCATCCCTCTCACTCTCTCTCTCTCTGACGCTATCCCTCTCTCTCTTTCTGACACTCTCCCTCTCTCTCTCTGACGCTATCCTTCTCTCCCTCTCTCTCTGTGACGCTATCCCTCTCTCTCTCTCTGACTCTATTCTTCTCTCTCTCTGACACTATCCCTCTCTCTCTCTCTGATGCTATTCCTCTCTCTCTCTCTCTCTCTCTGACACTATCCCTCACTCTGTCTCTCTCTCTGACGCTATCCCTCTCTCTCTCTCTCTGACGCTAGTCCTTTCTCTCTTTCTCTCTCTCTGACACTATGGAGTCCTGTAGCTCAGTGGTTAGAGCACTCGCTTTGAAAGTGAGAGACCTCAGTTCAATTCCAGGCAGAGGGCGAAACCTCGGGCAAGTTTCCTTACTCCACACAGAGCCTAATAATAATCCCTCCAAAACCAAAAACAATAATAAATTGGTCATTTTCAATCTATGACTGTTTGTGGGACATTGCTGTGCGCAATTGGCTGCCGCGTTCGCCCACAAATATACAGTCAATTCATTTTACAGTGTGTTCTGTGAAGCGCTTTGGGACGTCCTCCCGACGTGAAAAGCGCTATATCAAATGCAAGGATTATTATTATTATTCCCCTCTCTCTCTCTGACACTATCCCTCTCTCTCTCTGACACTATCCCTCTCTCTCTCTCTCTGACGCTATCCCTCTCTCTCTCTCTGACTCTATCCCTCTCTCTCTCTCTCTCTCTCTGACACTATCCCTCTCTCTCTCTGACGCTATCCCTCTCTCTCGCTCTCTGACGCTATCCTCTTTCTCTCTCTGACGCTATCCCCCTCTCTCTCTGACACTATCCCTCTCTCTCTCTGACACTATCCCTCTCTCTCCGACGCTATCCCTCTCTCTCTCTGACGCTATCCCTCTCTCTCTCTCTCTCTGACGCTATCCCTCTTTCTCTCTCTGACGCTATCCCTCTCTCTCTCTCTCTGTGAAGTTATGAAGATCCTCATCCTCACCTACACGGCCATTCCCGGCCTCGCTCCCTCCTATCCCTCTGACCTACTATCCCCCCACGTACCCTCCATCCCTCTGGCTCCGGTCTGCTCCACATCCCCCGCCCCAACCGCCCGACCATCGGTGGCCTTCAGCCTCTCAGCTCCGAGGCTCTGGAACTCCATCCCCAGTGCCTTCGCCGCTTCCTCCCTTTCCTCCTTCAAGGCCGGTCTCAAGACCTTTCTCTTTGACCTTCAGCCTTTAGCTCCGCTCTCGACTCTCTTCCCCCTCCTCGCCCCCTCCCCTCATCCTGACCATTTCCCCACTGCTCGGGTCCTGACCCAACTGCACAGCGCTTTGGGACGTCCTCCCGATGTGAAAGTCGCTCTATAAATGGAATCTTGTTGTGGTGTTCTTGTTTCCCCCCTCTCTCTCTCTCTCTCTGACACTATCCTCTCTCTCTCTCTCTGACACTATCCTCTCTCTCTCTCTCTCTGACACTATCCTCTCTCTCTCTCTCTCTCTCTGACTCTATCCCTCTCTCTCTCTCTGACACTATCCCTCTCTCTCTCTCTCTGACACTATCCCCCTCTCTCTCTCTCTGACTCTATCCCTCTCTCTCTCTCTCTGACACTATCCCTCTCTCTCTCTCTCTCTCATGACGCTGTCCCTCTCTCTCTCAGGATGTCCCCACCAAGTTGGTGGCTAAGGCTGTGGTACTCCCTATGACGGTGCGGGGCCACTGGTTCCTGAGCCCCCGCACAGAGTACAGTGTTGCGGTACAAACCGCCATCAAACAGAGCGATGGGGAGTATCTGATCTCCGACTGGAGCGAAGTGGTGGGATTCTGCACAGGAGGTAACTCACTCTCTCCCTCCACAGACACCTCCGGACAGGGGGAGTATGTGTGAGTGAGTGTATGTGTGTGTGTAAGACAGTGAGAGTGTGTGTGAGAGTGTGTAAGACAGTGAGTGTGTGTGGGTGTGAGACGTCTCTCTGTTCCGGACAGATTACTCCACCGCTCACCTGAAGCAGTTACTGGAGAAGGCGGAGGTCATTGCGGGTCGAATGCTCCCAATGTCAGTCTTTTACCGGAACCAACATCAGGAATACTTCGACTACACCAGGTACTGGGACCACAGGCTGGGGGGAGGGGCCTGGGAGGGGGGGGGGAGGGGCCTGGGGGAGGGGCCTGGGGGGGAGGGGGCTGGGGAGGGGCCTGGGGGGAGAGGGCTGGGGGGAGGGGGTTGGCTGAGAGTAGGGGTTCAGGCTGGAGGCTCGGAGTGTTGGGACCAGGATACGTGTTGGGGATGGGGCCATGTTGGGGAGTGGGCGGGGCCACATTGGGGAGCGGGCGGGCGGAATGAGGGAATAGGCAGGAGGGGGAGTGGGAGGGGCTGAGTGGGGGCAGTGGGTGGGGTGTGGGGGTTGGGTGGGAGTATTGGGCTGGGCTTGGTGGGGGGGTGGGGGGAGCTGGGTGGGGGGAGTGGGCAGGGCTGGGGGTGGGAGTTCATGCACTAAGCCCTCACTGACTCCTAGCAACCCCTCTGTCCGCGCATCCCCCCCTCTCCCACCCCCCGAATTCCAGGTCTCATCATGGCAACGTCATGCAGCCCTGCCTGAAGGACAACAGCGGGAGTCACGGATCGCCCGTGAGTGGGATGTTACGTGGCGTGTTCTTCAGCTGCAACACGGAGTTCAACACAGGAGAACCTCCTTTGGACTCACCTTACGGTTGCCTGCGTTTCCAAACGCTGGCCAGCAAGCTCTTCACACCCAGCACCTCTCTGTACTTCGCCGATCTCTACTGCATGTACACGGCCTACCATTATGTCATCCTAGTGTTGGCGCCCAAGGGGTCAGCGGGGGACCTGTTCTGCAGCGAGCGTTTGCCGTTACTAGACAGCGCCCACAACCCCTTCCTCACTTGCACTGAAGAAGCCGGGCACCTGGTCTACCACCACGCGCAAGATGTCATCTTGGAGGTGATCTACACCGAGCCTGTGGACCTCTCGGAGGGCATGTTGGCAGAAATCCGTGGGCATCAGCTCATGAGCCTGTCCACCGCCAATGCCAAGAAAGATCCCAGCTGCAAGATCTGTAACATCAGCGTTGGGCGTTAGCCTGGCCTGGCTGGCGACCTGCTACCAATGTCAACACCAGCTTCACACACTTTGAGGAGATTCTCAGTCTGTTGAGGAGCCTCCAGGACTATTCTCCATCACCACAAAGATAGATAACTAACTGGGAGCTTGGAACAGGCGCCCGAAACAAGCCACCACCCAATGGTGGGACTTTGTGATAAACCATGTTTGGCGATAGATGATTCCAATCTTTACACCCAATCTGACAGGGCGTGGGGGGAGTGGAGGCTGGAGAACAGGAGCCAGAGATATTCCCATTGTAGTCGGCACTGAATGGAGGTGTCACTGCCCTTTGCCCTCACAAGCGACTGCAACAAAGCATGATTGCATCCAGACCATTGGAGTGGAATGAAGGAACAGGAGAAGGCCATTCAGCCCCACGAGCCTGTTCCACTATTCTATTAGATCCTGGCTGATCTGTACCTCAACTCGAATTACCTGCTTTTGCCCAATATCCCTTGATCCCCTGACCTAACAGACATCCATCCACCTCGGGTCTGGACAATGTGAATGGATCCAGCCATAATCCACAGCCTTTTGGGGAGGAAGAGAGAGTAACATCTTCCCACTAGCTTCGTGATTTCGCTCCTAAAATGGCTTAGCTTTGATTTTCAGATGAATCACTGCATCCAACGCAATTGGAACTGCATCCAATGCAGGTTAACTGCACCAAATATCAAATGGAACTTTGCTAAGTGGGTAGCACACACACTGCTAGCCAGCAGTCAATGGAGGGATGTCTCCTCACCAGGCCTTGGTGACCAAAAATGGAGCTCAATTTAACCAGAGCACCTTTGAAAGAACATATGGCTCAGATGTTCTGGGACTGCTCTTCTCTGTTCTTACCTTTACCATTCCAAAGCCCTCCTATCCGTGTCGGTCTCCCCAGCTCCACCATCTACAAAATCCAGTTAATCCAGAACTCCATCGCCCCCATACTCACTCGCATTAAACTCCGTTTCCCCATCATCCCAGTCCTCTCCAGGCTCCACTGGCTTCCTATCACACACACTAAACTCCATCCCTCCATCACCCCTGCCCTTGCCAGGCTCCACTGGCTCTCTATCACCGAATGGATCAATTTCAAGATCCTCACACTCGTCGTCCAATCCCTTCGCACTCTGGGCCTCCCCTGCCTCTCCAACCCACTACTGCTCCCTCTGCTCGACTGACTCTGGCCTCCTGCTTGTCCCTTGTGCCCTCCGTTCCACCATCGCTGGCCACTTTTTCAGCCGCTACGCCCCAATGCTGTGGAACATTCTCCCTCTATCCCTCTGCCCTTACCCCTTCCTTCCCTATCTTGAGATCACGCCTTAAAGACCTTCGTCTTCGACCGTGTCAACGGTCACCTCCCCGTCCCCCTTCTCCCACTCTCGGTGTCGTGCTCCACCTCTGTCAAGTGACTCTGGGACGCTACGCTGTGTGATGGGGGGCGCGGGGCTTGTGTAAATGCAAGTTGTTGTTATTGTAATCTGAGGCAGAACAGATTCCATTGTGCTGAGCAGATGCTTCTCTGCTCGCAATCCCCAGCTCTGTTGACCCTATGTGAGAATCAGGGTTGGAGATGGGGAGGGAGTATGGGGGGGCTGACCTGGGTTGGCGTGAGGGTGTTGGGCAGAGTGTGGGGAGTGACCTGGATTGGGGGGGAGGGCGTTGAGCAGTGTAGGGGACTTACCTGGGTTGGGGAGGGGGTTGAGCTGTGTGTGGGGGTGGAGGAGTGGGGGGGGGGGAATGGGGGGGCTGACCTGGGTCAGGGGGGGAATTGAGCAGGGTGGGTCAGGGGGGAATTGAGCAGGGTGGGTCAGGGGGGAATTGAGCAGGGTGGGCAGTGGATTGCACATCATTGCCTGTCAGCTTTGTTCCTATTGAACCAGTCTCCGAACATCTAGAGAGACATTCACTCACTCACCCACACCCCTCACTCCATCACTGACAAACATTCCCCTCTCTACTCCAGCTCTACTCTCCCCTAAATTAACCCCACTCTCCCCTCAATCCCCCCAGGCTAACCCCATATCCACCCACCCTCCCTCCCCCATCTAACACCACTCCGCAGTTGCTCCTCCCAGTGTAACTCCAGTCTCCCCCCAGTCTAACCCCACTCTTCCATTGTAACCCCAATCTCCCCCGTCTAACCCCACTCTCCCCAGTCTAATCCCACTCCCCCTCGTCTAACCCCACTCTTTCCCCAGTCGAACCCACTCTCCCCCTTTCTAATCCCACTCTTCCCCCCAGGTCTAACTCCACTCTACCCCCAGTCTAACCCACTCTCCCCTCACTCCGCCCAGTCTACCCTGCACTGTGCTGTGGTGAGGGTGGGTTTTTTTTTGCTTCGGGGAGGTTTTGCTGTGTAATGTGCTGGGTTAATTGCTAACGATATTAATTGCTCAGTTGTGCATGATTCAATCTGAGCCTGTGTTTGCCCGAGACGTCGCCATTGCTACCGCTTCTCTACAGCTTCCAACCCAATAAAGGTTAATCCTCATCAACGTGTCGTGACTGCCCATTACCCCATAAACTCACACTGCACCCCAAAACACACATGTCGGGGAGCGCTGGTGGGAGGAGAGAGAGAGAGACACATTGTCAGAGACACCGTGCTTCGGATGAGACATTAAACCTCATTTAATGTCCCTCCCTCCCCCTGGCTCCTCCCCCTCGGGGTGACTACAAGGTGGGGTTCCCAGTCAGGTATTGCCATTCAGCACAGGTGAGATGGGGCACAGACGCACAGTCAAACGGACTGGTTTTGCCCATTAGGGTTGAAATTCATTCTCCGAAATCCAACAATATGACATTTGCAGCTTTCACACTTTGCCATCTGAGGCCGAGGGTGGCGGGGAGAGAGGTGACCATAGAGGTATGGTGGTAGAGGAAGGTCTTCAGTTGCGAGTTCCAGGGTTTCGAGGTGAGATTGTCGGTGATTGTGTGTCACGTGTCAAAACCTGACACCCTGTGATTAAGAAACATCAGCAGCACAGACTGGTGAATCACACTATGACATCTACACGTCAGCTTTCGCACAGGATAGCGTCTTGGGGGATAATGAGGGGAGAGTGGGGTTAGTTTGGGGGGAAAATTTTAATCCAAGTCAGGCATGTTCGAGGGAGAGGAGGTAACCAAAGGTGCAGTTAACGCAGTAGGTTTTCAGGTGTATTTTTGTAGGTAACCACAGCAGCTCATTTAAACACAGCGATGGCCCCCCAAGTCACCATTTAGTAACTGAACAATTTATCTGGGTGGGGGGGGGCGTGTGATTGTCGTGCAGGACACCAGGAGAGAGAGGTCTCTTTTCCAACAGGAGATCATTAACGTCTGCCTGAACAGGGCACGGACTACAAGGTGGGAGGGAGGGGAGCCAGGGGGAGGAGCCAGGGGAGGAGCCAAGGGAGGGGGAGGAGCCGAGGAAGGGGAGGAGCCGGGGAGGAGTCAGGGGAGGGGAGGAGCCGAGGAAGGGGAGGAGCCGGGGGAGGAGCCGAGGAAGGGGAGGAGCCGGGGGAGGGGCTGGGGGAGGAGCCGGGGGAGGGGGAGGAGCCGGGGGAGGGGGAGGAGCCGGGGGAGGGGGAGGGGCCGGGAGGGGGAAGGTGACCTTTGCTGCGGTCAAAAAGAAAACCGAGACCTGAAAGTGGGAAGAGAGGGAGCGATGGGGGGAGTTCCAGAGCCTCGGGGGGTAGTGGCTGAAGGCACAGCCGCCGAAGGGGGAGCGGAGGACTCGGGGGATAAATAATAATAATAATAATAATCTTTGCATTTGATATAGCGCTTTTCACGTCGGGAGAGGACGTCCCAAAGCGCTTCACAGAACACACTGTAAAGCGAATTGACTGTATATTTGTGGGCGAACGCGGCAATTGCGCACAGCAATGTCCCACAAACAGTCGTGGATTGAAAATGACCAATTTATTATTGTTTTTTTTGGAGGATTATTATTAGGCTCTGTGTGGAGTAAGGAAACTTGCCCAAGGTTTCGCCCTCTGCCTGGAATTGAACTCAGGTCTCTCACTTGCAAAGCGAGTGCTCTAACCACTGAGCTACAGGACTCCACCAAATGTGTGTGGGGGTGGGGGGGAAGTGTGTCTGTGTCTGTATGTGCGGGGGCTGTGTGAGTGGGGAGTGTGTATGTGTGTGTGCGGGGGCTGTGTGGGGGGGGTGTGTATGTGTGTATGCGGGGGTTGTGTGGGGGGGGAGTGTGTGTGTGCGGGGGCTGTGTGAGGGGGGGGAGTGTGCGCTCACACATGGTTATTGACGTGAGCTGTAAGAATGCAAACACTAACGTCATTGCCCTCCACCTCAAAGAAGTGGAACTGCAGAGAGACACCGCACCGTGTGGGAGACGCCGCACCGTGTGGGAGACACCGCACCGTGTGGGAGACGCCGCACCATGTGGGAGACGCCACACCATGTGGGAGACGCCACACCGTGTGGGAGACGCCGCACCGTGTGGGAGACACCGCACCATGTGGGAGACACCGCACCATGTGGGAGACGCCGCACTGTGGGAGACGCCAGTTGCCACACACAGTTTTTGTTCACTGGATATTCCTTGGGCCACCCAGGGGTGGTCAGCGATCCATTCAGCTTAGTCAGGAACCCTCCACAGGTAGCGACAAGGCAAGACACACAGTCACCCATTGCGTTGGACACCCCTCTGGCCTCTCCTCTCCTTTTCTCCCCCAGTCACTACTCCATTAGCTACTGTGCTGGGGGGGGAAGAGAGAGAAAGAGCGCCACATTGTTGGAGACATCGCCCTTCGTCTAACACTATGCAATCAGTGCCACATCTCGCCCACAAAACACACAGTCACTCCATGGCGGTGGGGAGACTCCAGGAGCTGGTGTCAGGCGGCAGTTTTTCACTCGAACAAAAGTGGGAATCTGGAACTCTCTCCCTGTCCCCAAAAGGCTGTGGAGAGAGGAACGAGAGGGGTGAAAGAGAGGAGAGAGAGAGAGAGGCAGCAGAGAGAGGGGGAAGAGATGAATGGAGAGAGTGAGCAGAGAGAGAGTGAGAGACAGAGCAGAGAGAGTGGGGGTGGGGTGTGGGGGGAGAGGCGGAGTAAGAGGGAGCAGAGAGAGAGTGAGAAAAAGAGCAGAGAAGGGGGTGGGGGGGAAGACAGGAAGGGTGGTAGGGTGGATTGTGGGCGGGGTGGGGGTGGCGAGGAGTTGCGCTGTGCTTGGCTGGTCACACTGGCTGCCATCGCTTGCCCTCTCACGTTAAGTACCGTTGAGGAGTGTTTGCCAGGGTCTGTAAGCCAGACCGTGTACCCACGCCTGGCACCGCTGCCCTCTCACCCTCACAGCTCCTCTTGTCAGACGCCAGCTCGAAGCCAGGGTCGCAGGCGCACGTGTAGCTGCCCAGAGTGTTGACACAGCACTGCTCACACCCGCCATTGTCAGCCCTCGAACACTCGTCCATCGCTTCGAGAGACAAACCGCAGAGCCAGGGAATGAACCTTATATGTTCATACATTCACACTCGCTCGCACTCACACTTTCACAC